TGGGAATGTTTCTATCTTTTATTGTTGTAACACAGTTTTTTTTTTGGAAGTTCTCTCCTATTTTGGGGTTAATTAGGCTCTGATGCATAGGTCTAGGACTTGAGAGGTCTTCTGAGCCCCGGATTTGAGCGCCTGTAGGCTAGAACAGCCCTATGACATGTGAAAATTGCCTAATTTTGGAAAAATTTGTAGAAGAAAAAAAAGTTTCAATGAAATAGGATGGAAAGGAAGGGCTTCTATAGCTCTACAGAAAGGAAGCCTAGCCAAAATTGGTGGTTCCAAGCAGAATTCACGGGCATTTTGCTGAGAAATTCACGGGTGTTTTGCAAATTTCACGGGTATTTTGCAGAGAAAAAGGCAAACAAGAAGAAACAAAACATGTTCGCCGAATCCACCAAATCTTGCACCCGTTGTAAATTGGTCAGAGCCAGCCGAAATTGCAACCATCTTCCCCAGAACGCACTCATTTCAGGTATGTTTTTTTTAGTAAATTTTGTTTGAAATTGTCCCGGATCATTGGCGGGTCCAAGAGGGGGCAATGGGCGTTTTGCCCTTCCCTTTCTCACTGGTAGGAGTTGTTTTGCTGCAGATCGATACCTCCAGTTCCCCCGCCCAAGAACCCCACTTTCGTCCCCCCGCCCCCAAAAGAATTGCCGAAATCCCCTCCCCCCTTCCCTCCCCAGGAATCCGCCCTGAATCTACCTACTTTCCAGATACATGTTTTTTTTAGGTTAGTGTAATAAGCAGTTGTCTGAGACTTTATCGTTCGATTCTATACTGGGAAACCAGTTTTTTGTGGTTTTTTCATCAATTTTGAGATGATAAAATGGTAATTAGCACACATCAAAGAATCTAGGCCACTTCCAGCTTGTTTTTGATAAATTTTTGAGGAAAAATTGGGTTTTTTTTTCGCTCAGAGTGAGGTGTGGAAGTATTTTGACCCTCACTGATTTGATCTTTGATCTTCCAGTAGCCGCTGACATCAACCGGAAATTGACCGTAGGCCTCAGTTTTCATTTTTTGGATTTTTTCGACTTTTCTTTGAAGCTAGTGTATAATCTGTGTCACTTTTAGGCTCGCGAAATACGTTACAGCACCGGCTATCTTACAGTATCAAAGTGGCAAAAGGAAACAATGTTCCTCCGTGAAAAACTCAGATACTGGCAAGAATTCACCAAAAGGTAAATTTACACGTGCTTTACGTAAAGTATTATTCTATGTATGGGACTTGTGAGTCGCATTTTCTTTGCTGTTCATTATATAAGCTGAAAAATGTTGGGATTATGGTAGTTGGTGAGCTTAAACTCAGTTCTTTCTATGTTTACAGCTAAGGGATGAAACACAGACTGCTTCTTTATAAATGATCATTTACGATCTGACTTGTAATCCCTGTGCCTGGCTTATATTGTTCGAACCCGACCGAAGCCCACTCCATGGTCTTAATTGTGTTGTAAAAATAGTTCTAGTTTCTGTACACACACACACACACACACACATACATGCATACATGCACATACACGCATACATACACAACCTACATACATATACAAACTATAAGTAAAAGCGCCATACTGGGCTATGAACATATGTTAGTTAGTGTCACAGAAAAATGTCTGCTCGGCGGATAAAACTCCTTTGAGTAAATATGAAATTCATTGGCCTGTCTTTTTTGTGTTTTTACCACTTTGACAGTTTCATTGTTGTGTAAATCACTGGCATAGGGCGGATTCAGCCCCTTCCTATCCCCTTCCAACAGTGGTACAAGCACCAGTGTTGCAAAAGTCTGGGTCTAAAGCTAAAACTAAAGTGAACTAAAGCCTAAAGTAAGTTCAAGTAGCAATGT